CACGGCCGACCCTCACGTCAGGTCTTCTACGGGGACTCAGTTTCAAGAGGGACTTCTGCCTTACCCGTGCTGTTTGAATTTTTGCAACAAATAACTTCATGTATTGTGTAACTGAAAATAAAGAAAACAGTGATGGCCAGTGACAGTGTTTATGTCTTATATAAAGTGCATATTTTTAGAGCACTAATTACTAGGATTTAATAAATCACATGTTTTCTTTAGGTTTTGACACCCAAGAGGTTGGATTTTTCATTTCTTCCATCCTTTGAACTTTTTGTTTAAAATTTCAGGCTCTTTCAGGCACCTGCCACAACTTAGGAAGGAAAATAAGAAAGTAGGCACTGATTTGTCCTGACTGTCACATAAAAGAAAATGCTTCAAAAGGAGAACGAAGCGTATGTCATGGGTGGTGGGTCCATGCGCCTTTGCTGCTGTTGAAATCCCAGCGTGTTGTCTGTGCTCGTTCATTCCACCGTTGGGGGGCTGTCCTAGCTTTGTGCCTGCGTCAGGCTGCTCCACCATCACGTGGTGTCTACTTCGGGAAGAGAAGGCTGGTGCCGCGCTGTCTGCACTGACCTCAGTGGAAAGAGGACCCTAAGCAGTGTCCTTGGGGAGACAGGGCCTCAGCCTGCTCACCAGGCTGTGCGCGCCCCCGGAGTCGGGGAATCCCTTCTTTGATGGCAAGCCAAGCACCCATGATGCCTGCGCCAGGCCGCTGCCTCCAGCTTCTCCGGTGGACACTGCCGCGTGCCTTTTCTCCTTTGGCTCCTGTCTCCCGAGTGTTCTTGGTGACACATTCAGAAGAGCCAGGACGGCAGCTTGCTTTGCCAAACTAACCGTGGAATTTAGTCAAATGATGACAAAACCAGCCAGCAGTTGGCAGACGTTTCAGTTGAGTTTTTCCCCTCATGCTGAGCCAAGTGCACAAGAAGGTCCTAGGTTATTGGAAGTGTCACCCATCCAGCTCCCTCTCAGCCTCGGGTGCTGTCCCAGGCTTTGTGTTTTGTGTGTTTTTCTAATCACCCTCCCTGTCACCTGCCACTGGGCCTCACCTGCCTGCAGAAGCCAGCTGACTTCTCAGTATTGAAAGCTCAGTTAGATGTCAGAGGAAAATGAAGGCAGCTTTACCTTCTCTATTTGGCGAGCCAACTGAACTAGAAAGAAAAGTAGCAGCCTGATATTTGCATCCTTGTGATCTCCCGAGAAAGCCTCTTTGCCTCGGGAGGCAGAGGTGACGAGTCCGCAGGACACGTGCCGTGGATTCTTCCCGGAGGCCAATGGCCAGACACGCAGAAATGCTGGCATTTTCCCAGTGACGCTTCAGGCACCCAGCTCAGCGTGTCACTCTCCCAGGTCAGAACGGCAGGGTAAGTGAAATGCAGCCCTAGCTGCACTTTAAAGGCACGAGGGCTCACGCCCCACTGACCATGGCTTCACATTTGGGCACATTTTGCCTTAATCTGTTATGGAGTGACCTCAGGGGCCACTGAATTTTAGTAAGTTTTTAATTAAACTGAATAAAGTAATCCAGGCAGAAACCTCTTCCAGGAATGTTTGTTGACTGTAGGTTTTATCTCTGGCTTTTTCTACAGTTTCATTGTCTTCTAATCCCACTTGATGAGAAATTTAGTACCAAGAGTGAAACACTGTCCAAAATCTATTTCTTGGCATTCGTTCAGCCTCTACAGTCTATCAATCTTTGCATTAACATCTGATTTAGAAGTTTGTGTAAAATGACGTGAATTACACTCTTCTTGATCCCTGTAGCTGTTAAAATACAGGGGAAGCAGATGATTCTATTAAGCCACCAATTTATCTCCTTGAATCGAACACTTCAAGCCACAGCCCTTAACTCACCATCCAAATCAAGACAAAAGCCTGTCAAGTGTGAAGAGACATAAGAAAGTCGGAGCCTCTGAAATGAGCCTGGTGTGTTCTCCAGCTGGTTCCATCCTTGTCCCCAAGAGCTCCGTGACAAGCCACCGTGTGCTTGAGTGAAGGGGACTTGGGAGTTCAGTGTGAAGGGGAAATGCTCTAATAACGTCGGAGTTGACCCTCAAAGAAGCCAGTTCTGAGGGGCCGTGGCTGAAGGAGTAATTACTCAGCAATACTCTGTACGTCCTAAAGGAGTGTCACCATTTTGTAGTTACAGAATTTTGTTCCATTGTATAAAGGTTTTACCCAAGAGTCATACTTGGTTTTCTTTTTTCCTCAAAAACTCTTCCTTTGCTGTTTTCTGATGTTCTGGGATTTAGCCTTGGGCCTTGTACAGTCTGGCCTTTCCAAGTCTTAAAGCTGAGTTAAGAGTTTATCCCTGGACGGTGTGAAGTGAGGTTCAGCTCTTGGCACCTCATAAAAATGTTCACAGCACATTACCATGAGCTAGTGATTGAAATAAACATTTCTGAGCTTGTGTAGATAAATGTCCTGAAACCCACTCTTGTTATGTTTGGGTGCTGAAGGACTGTTATAAGAAGAATCAGATCGTTTATACAATAAACTATACTGACAGCTGTGGACTCAAGGCAGAAATGAGATGACCATAGAAAATGTGGCGTTTATTCAACTCAGGTTACCTCTTTGGAGCATTCTCATTCTTTCTGGGCTTGGGCAGCAGTTCTCAACCTTCCTAATGCCACGACCCCTTAATACAGTTCATGTTGTGGTGACCCCCAACCATAAAATTATTTTCATTGCTACTCTATAACTAATTTTGCTACTGTTATGAATCGTAATGTAAATATCGTTTTCTTTTCCAACGATGGTCTTAGGCGACCTCTGTGAAAGGGTCATTCGACACCCAAAGGGGTCGCAACCCACAGGTTGAGAACCACTGGCTTAGAGCCTTTTATATTTAAAAATTATTGAGGACTCCAGGTTATTGGAAAACAAAAATGAGGAAAAAAATTCATTTTTAAAAACAATACACCAACTACACGCTAACTTACGCAAATAGCCCCATATTTTTAAAAAAACGAGAAAAGCAGTACTGTTTTAACACATTTGCAAATCTAGTTGCTGTCTGGTTTTATAAGACAGCTGGACCCTCGCGTGCTTCCGCATTCGTGGGTGGAAAGTGCTGTTTGGTTGAAGTGAAGGACACGCTGTCCGGTTGCCACGTGGGAGCCCACAGCGGGGCGTCCCCAGTTGCACGTGGGGCCTGACCACGTCGCTGCTCTCACGCGCTTGGATGGATTTTGTCCGGTGTCCTCGTGCACCGCGCGCCGAGTCATCTTCCAAGTGTCATTAAACGACATCA